GTTTTTTCCACGTTAAAATTGTTGTGTCTCTTTGTCTTGATTGCTTGATTGTTTGATTGGGATTGTTATATTCTACTTAAGTAATTCCCTGAAATTTTGTTTATTAGGGCAAGAAACAATAAGACTTTACTCATTTGATTGTTAATGTGATCAGGAGATCCTTGACCAACTTGCTGATATTGATTTAGTCGTGAATTTCAAATGCACAGAGGATTCCTTATTGAAACAACCTATGAGAAATGGAATCTGTTCTCCAGGTCAAGAAATTCTCATGGGCAAGTCCGGGTTAAAATTAAATCTCCCATCACAGGACAATCTAAAATCTTCATGTGCTGATGCAGAAGGTGCCTGGAAAGAGAGACTTCGTATTTATGCTGAGCAGGTACACTTTAAATTGCTTTTGGATCAGGAAAAAAAAAAAAAAAATTTTATGACAATATGTCAATTTGAGATGATTCATTACGATTGCAATTGGTTCTGAGTATGTAGGAACAATTTTCAGTTTCTTTTATCATCTGTTGTTTCTTGTCTCATCAGCACTCTCTTGTCTTTTCATTTTCAAAAAGCTCTTATAAGGTTTGGTTGTGTTGAGGGCAAGTATCATGGATATTAGTAAAAACAGTTAGTTTTGATAGCTAGTTTAGAGAGAGCCTTTCTGATGAATCTCTTGGTTTCTTTTCTTTTTTTTTCCCCCCACCTTTTTTGGGTCTTATTCATTTTGATTTTCAAAAACAACTAACTTAGGCTTGAAGATAATGGTGTTTGAGCATGATACTTCTATGATTATTGTTTGAACCTTATGCTCTATTTTGTGGGAGTCTTGTGCTTTCTTCTGTTGTCTCTAATAACATTACTCTTGAGACATGACGATAGGCTTCAAATTTGAAGAGAGAATTGCATCACTTGATCTCTGAAAACATGTCGCTTGACAAAATGCTCTTTTGTGTTTTTTTTGTAATTTGTTAAATCTATGCTAAGGGGTAGTAAGATTTGAGTTGTACTTTTGTCATTACAAGAACTGCATTGAAAAACAATTTTCACTGATACAGCAATTTTTTCTCCAGAGCAAGCCTTTAGAAGATTACTACAGAAAACAGAAGAAGCTTCTTGACTTTCAAGTGGCTGGTGCACCTGGAGAAACCTGGCAAGGTCTATTGGCTGCCTTGCATCTTCAGCATATGAATGCTGTCAGTTCTTCACAGAAGCTGACTGCATGATCTGTCCAACCTGATCTTTTGATGATCTTCATTATTGTTTCGGCTTCATAGTAAATATCATCAATTTGAGTGTAGCATAGTTGGCTGGAGTTTTCCATGGCTAGTATCTCCAGCTCAGTTTTGAAGGCTCAAGTTTTTTTTTTTGCAAAGTGCATACGTTTTGATGATGCGTAGACTATTGGTATGTTCGAGCACAATATGTATTATTTACATTTTATTTGTATTTTTTCTTTCTTTTGCATTGAGATTTATGATTTTGTGTCCTATACAATATATATTCAGTATGTATTTTCTTGGATCGTCTCTCTATTTCCCTGAGTTGAATCTGCTTGAATAGATCTTGTTATCTGTTTCCTTAAGTTAATGGAAAAATATGATTTGATTGGTAACATAGAATTCAGGTGTTTTAAGTGATACAAATCTTCTTGTGTTCGGTTGTACAGTATTGAGTTTATTCTCTCCATGCCCAGCTAGTAATTGAGATTCAATGTGTTTGATTTACGTTTTTTGGATTAAGTTTTTTAAAAATTGAGTTTTTTGATTTTCGTGTTTTTTTTTGTTTTTGGTAAATATTTTTAAAATTTTAAATATTTTTTTTTAAATTTTTTTAGATGAACTTTACTTAAATGTATTTAAAAAGTAAAAAAATTATGAAAAAATATTTTAAAAAATACATAAAAATACAACAAATGTATTGAATTCTCATTTCTTTTTTTATATTTTTGGTATTTAGTAAATTTTTAAAATACTTTTTTCATAAATTTTTTATTTTTTAAGTATATTTATGTTAGGTATGCTTAAAAAATAAAAAAATTACTTAAAATATTAAAAAATTGAGTAAAAACAAAAAAAATACAAAAAATAAGAAAGTATTGGCAAAATGGAACCAAGCAAAAAGTGAGGTAACTTGGCAAATTTCTCAAACCAGCATTTTCATATATACAATCAAGAAAAGTACATCGATCAACAAAGAAACCTAGCACAGCTCTACAACTAAAATAGTGATCCCAATTATTTATGCACTGTTGCATACATGTCATATACATATAGCTAGCTACTCATTATTCGTCTATGCCTTGCCAAAGGGATCTGCATCTACACAGCATTATAACTGCACTTTTCCTACGATATCAAGCTAAACCCTACAGGCTGTCTGATGTTTCAACTATGGGATGAACCAAATCTACGAAGTCCATTACTGCTACTCACTAGTCATCCAGATCTCACGAAGAAGCTGATACCTGACAGCATTTTGACTACCATTTTCCTTGGATAACCAGCAGGGTTTAGTTGAAATAGGTGAAGAAGCCAGAGGGCTGTCGATAATTGCAGTTAAGGGTGAATCCAATCCATCAAGCTCATCATCACTAGTGTACGATTTCCTCAGCACCAAGGACCCACTTCTTGTCAGCTGGGATTGGCTTCCAATCTCTCTGATAATACCAGCAACTGAAATTGCTGGTGGTGGTAAATAGACTATTGGAGTTGCGCTGCACGGGAAGTCCGTGACAAAACCTTCCTCAGCCTCAAAAAGGTCCTAATTCAAATTACAAAAAAAAAAAAAAAATGATTCTCACATTAGAGTTTATAAGCTTGTGTTTACCATAAACATGAGGTAAACATAGGATAACTGAGCAAGGAAAACATAGGAAACAGAAACTTTCAGAAAGGGACAAACCTCAGAATCCAGAGCTTCAAACAAAACCTCAGGAAGTGGGTCGGGGCAAAATTCGTCTGGGACAAAATTTTCGAGTACCCTCTTGATCAGTTGTGCACCAAATGTAGGACATACCTTCAAAAATAAAAACATTAGCATGGGGACAAGTACATGATAATATATATCATGCAGGTAAAAGACTGAAATGGAAGGGTTTAAAAAGTTTAAGAGTAAAACCTCTTTTCTGATTGACCTGCTTAAGAGCATGTCCTTCGGAAGCATCATGAGGTCACTCAATGCATTTAGAAGATGGAATGACTTGAAGGACGCATCATAGTCTTTGCTCTCGTCGTCGTCATCATTATCATGATCATTCTTGTCATTAAATGAGTCGTCATCATCAATACCAAACTGGTCAGTAAGCCATCTAGACCAGTTCCCAATCTGTCATCCAGAACACACAAAAGGGCTTCTTTACTCGAGAGCTATCAGAATTATGGATTACACACATTTACTAGTAAACGTACTTTGACTTGCAATATAAGATGTAATTCTCACCGCATTTTTAAGTAGTGCACCAGCCCCAAAGCTTGCTTTCCCTGCTGGAATAGGGAGAACCTTGGCATCACTAACAGGGTCAGATACAGGATCAGTTGGAATGTCATCATCAGATTCACGAAGAATAGCATTGAACATTGCCACATCCAATCTAGCCACACATTGCATCATTATCTAGTCACAAAGAGAGATGCATCCCAAATCATATTTCTATGGAGGTTAGTCGGCGACAATTTATAATCAACTATAACTACCAACATACATCTAGCCTTCCTCAGACTTCAAGTCAGGCAGCGCCACGTGGACTAGGTCACCTTTTTTAAGGTACCAACTGTGGGTACTTGTATCAAGCTCAATACGTGGCAAGCCCACATCACCAAAACCCCACCCACGTGGCAGACCAATAAGGCACCACGTCGGGCATGTCGTATGTTTACTACATGGCGAGCCCTACGGGCGTCATGTGCCAAGGCAACCAAAACTATATGCTTAGCCTAAGCGGGAGCATATATACAAGCCCAAATATATCTAGATATGAAGAGCCCTGCAACAGGCAGCACCATGGCCCCGCAGGGCCCATGGTCCTTCATACCTAGCTCCAAGGCCAAACAACAATACAATTAGCCCCCGGCTCACTTGTACTTGGATTGATAAACAATGGCTCTCCTAAACATTGAGATAGGCCTGCGGCCCATTCTCTTACTTGATCGCTCAGAAGCAAGCCCCTCTCTTAAACATTGAGTTAAGCCCGCGGCCCATTCTCCTACTTGGTCACTTGGAAGCGAGCCCTTGGCTCTCTTAAACACTAAGGTGGGCCCTGGCCCATTTATCTACTTGGATGCCTGGGTTGGGAGCAGGACCCAGGCACTACTGCTCGGGATCATCAGAGGATACTGGACTGGCGGCTGAGGTCATGGGATCGTCGAGATAGTTGTCTTCTTGCTAAGACAACTCTATCTTGACCAGGCTTGGAGAAGAGGCAACAATGACCTTACGTTCATGTCATCCGATGCATATACGAAACGTTACTTTCTGCCTGCCACGAAACGTTGCTATCCGCCTGCCGGCAAGCCACAGACGGCAGAAGGGCTTATATCACTTCTGGCAGAGTTGAGGAGAACGAGCCACCTGTCCAACAGTTTGCTTGGGCTCCAATACTCCTGCGGCCTATATAACGTATCGTATATGCAGCGAGACACAACAACAACAATACAACCAAGTCTCATGCTAAAACACTCTCTCATACTTTACATTAGTGTTCAAAGGTCTATCAAAGAGTAGTTAACATTGAACACATGTCATGATCACCCCATAACAACAAAACAATGTGCAGTAAGTATATGCACTCAATGATCCAATAAGGGTTGGTCAGTTGAGTCATTAACACATGATATTTTGCTAAAAATTAAAAAGAAAAAGATAAAGAAAAAAGAACAGAGAAGTGGAAAAAAGAAAAATATGCTACCAACTGAAAGTTGCAAGCCATGATCAATGCCTATATCCATAAATTGTTCTTTATGATGCTTCCTGGGATACCCTACCCTAGTGAGAAACCAATATCTAGCCAGCCAAACTCCCACCACCTGGAGGTATTGACATCAACTTAAATAATCAAAATGTCTAAAACGACCCCATTGGAAGGTCAATCCCTTGTCTTTTCCCCCCCAAGAATCAGGTTCTCAAATCTTCAACTACAATATACAGTCAACGCATGAAATCAGTTACAGAAAAGACCAATCCTTTGATGTGTGTATACATGTTTGTGCATATATATATTTGCTACTTTCAATTATACACACACCACCAAAAAAAAAACTATCATTTGTCTGAATGAAGATTAATAAAATTGATTTATAGAAATCTACCAATCAAAACAAAGGAAAGGAAACAAAATAATCAAAGTGGTTCATTTTCATACTAGTAGAGATCAGAGAAACAAGGGAAGAACAAAATGGTTTCTCTTTGACTTGAATGTGTGTTCTCATGCTTGTAATCTAATTTTTTTCAGTGAAATTAATCAAGTATACAAATGGTAAGCCAAGTGTAAAACTTGTTAAAGTCTTAAAAAAATTCATTACCTAAACTAACTGATGTCAAAAATCCATATCGAACAAGACTTCTTTTTTACTCAACTCATTCTGTTTCTCACCTAGTTAACTATATGAACAATTTAATAAAATTGAATAGATTGGGAAAAGAAGAAGAAATTCTCTCACCCACTCCTCATTATTCTAACAAAGTATTCATAACTGTAAGGAAACAGTTCATTTGTGATATTCAAATGGACAATATGACCTGCAACATTAGGAACCAACCAACCAATACAAGTATTTTGTTTTCTTTCCAAATTGAAGGCATTAATAGACCGTCATTTAAAAACCAATGCTGCGAAGCCACAATCTAACAAAAGAAAAGTTATTATTGAAGCAACACCATATATAACATTTTTTTATTTGATATTTTGAGAGAAAAATCTAAAAAATAGCAAAGTAACTACTAAAGCAACATTACTAAAATCTAGTATTTTATCATAATTCATTACTAAAATATAGCAATAACCAGTTATTTGCAATTGAATCATTAGAGATGCTATTAGGTAATAGCAGGAACATTGCTTAAAGACAACAATTTAGATGCCTTCAAGCTTCATAAATGTTGGAGTTCAAAAAACTCTGCTAGTTAACAAAATACGATACTCTATTTGTCCACCATGAATGTAATCAATACATTTATATTTTTTTCACAAATGCTCATCAAATATAACCAAAC